AAAGATTAGGGACCTCAATACAACAGTTTCAGAGAGTTTGAGTGTTAAATTAGTGCCCAAACAAGGCATTTTCGAGTGTGAGTATCGGTACTGGAAGAACAGTACCAATGTTGTTCTTATGAGAGACAAAAATCAAGGTGATTTTATGATGAGGGTAATGATACTCATTATAAGAGTACTGATACTCAAGGTTCGGTTTCGAAACCAGTTGGATTGGTATCGAGACCATTTTTCCAAAGGGAATATTTGGTATCGATACTCAAGGGAGTATCGATACCCAAGGTTGAGTATCGTTACTCCCTATAGGAGTATCGATGAGTATCAATATCGATGTTATTTTCAAAACATCGAACTAAAAATTGGTATCGATACCCTAGGCACTATCGATACCTTAGCTTAGGAGTATCGATATTGGTCTGAGAGTATCGATACTACCCGTTTTCCTTCAATTGAAATTAGTAGTAGAGTATCGATACCCTAAGGGGAGTATCGATACTCAAGGGTCAGTATCGATACCGAGAGGCCAGTATCAGTACCAACATACATTTAAGGCTATGAGGTTTCCCAAGAACTCTATAATTGCTATCAATAAAACTACAAGTGAGAACAAGCTTAATAATCAAATACATATAGAAATAAGATCAATTAGGGTGACATAAAACTAGTCTTGGTTGATGCTTGAGAAACGATCAACACACCCAAGTTACTTTAGCAAATGCTACTGGCGTCGAGAAATTGAATTGTTCGGATATCCTTAGGTAGTGCGCGAGGAACTTTTCAATGACTAATTAGGGCATGAGACTTGACACTTGCGAGGAGTAGGTTAGTCGAGGGTGTTGTGTTCGATGCAGATATTTCAGACCTCATCCTAGGTAGACTAGAGGAGTGTGTGAACTCCAAGACGCAAAACCCTAAGTCATTTCATGATGTCTACCCTAGAGTAGATAGTGAAGAATACGAGTATACTTACTATTGCATTACACTCGAAAGCATGAGCATTTAATGAACACTTGTAGTATGGTTTAGTTGTTAGGGTGGTACAGGGCTAGTGAGCTCAGCGTTCAGAATTTGTTTCCTTATGCAAGTAATTAGAAGGAGCCTTTCAGCAGTAGCTTCCCAGACCAAGTGAGCAGCAAAGTATGTCTTGAGTTATATTGTTAACGGGCATGTATTATTTGTATACCCTTTTATATTTCGAGTCGTAACTTTATTTTGAAATGTTGGATTATATATTTTTATATACTTGTTTTGGGAGCTCCCCGATGTAAACTTATTTTATACATTGTGATTGATTTAATTTATTTGGAATGGTTTTAAAAGGGTCATTTTAAATAATAAATTAAAGAAAAATTTTGGTTAGCCACTCCGATGGTCCCGTGTGGCAATCGGTCGACTGTGTGTCGTATTGGACTAGGGTGTTACAAAGTTACTTAAGTCTTCCCTCATGAGGAAGCAAAACAAATTTTATTCACTCTCATCGCCCCTTATCTGACCGACCGTCTTATTTGGGAATACCACAACTCCGGTTGTTAGTCGGCCAAGTCAGGATACATTTGGTTACTCATGAAGAAAGTACCATCAAAGACAAAAAATTTGGAAACTAATTACCAAATTCCAACTCTACGGAAGATTAAAATATTTTGGTGGAGGATTTGCAATGATGCCTTGCCCATGAGATCGAAGTTAGCTGCCGCTAGGATTGGCAATGGGATGTGCCCTTTACATATCACGGATTAGGACTCCACCATCCATGCTATTAAAAATTGCTCGAAGACCTGATTCTTTCTTCTTTTGTCAGGTCTCTCCCTTCTGATTGAGGATTGGATTGTGTTATCGTGCAAAACTTGGTTGAAAATGGCAACTTCTTCCTTGGATTCTCGGGGTTCACCAAGCTGATTGTTCTGCTCTTGAACATTTGGAATATGAGAAATAAGTGGGTCCACGATGAAGAACATCAAGACAATCATGTGGTGGTTGAGGCAGCTTGGGATCTATTTCTCGATTTTAGGGAGGCTAACTGAACACATGGGACACCATAGAGCTAGTCCCGAGTCCGCCCAATTCGGTCATGGACTAAACCAATGGTAGGGTGCATTAGGATTAATGTTGATGGCAGTTTCCTTCCAAGCTTAGGTGACGCAGCAATCGGAGTGGTGGCTCATGATCACTATGAAATGGTCTCCATTCCCCTAACTCATTCGAAACAATCGAGGCAATGGCCTTCATTCATGGACTTCGCTTTTACACTTGAAAATGGGTGGCAAAAGGCCATCATTGAAGGACATACGGTAGCCATTTTCAACCGATTAGCCAACCGAAAAGAAGACATCTCGATCGTCAGATTGATGCTTAACAAGGCTCATGATATCTTTGCTCACAACTCGGACTTCAAGGCTTTCTACACAAGTCGTGATTCGAATAGGGTAGCAGTTAATTTAGAGCATTATATCTTGTTGAGGACCAATCCTTTATGATTCTATTTTGATAAACCTGATTATATCAAAGATGTTTTACTTTCATATGCCATTGCCTCTAAATGAATTTTTTTTTAATTCACATTGAAAATCAAGATGTGAAATTACCAACTGATAAATGAAAGAACCGTTCGGAAGAAGGATGTCACAACTTTATCATGTAAATTGCACTAAAAACAACTCGTACGATCAACATCTGATGCACAAATAAACCATTAGGTCTAATGGGTCTCTGTGCATCCGAAAAACCAATGCAGAATGATCATGAGTAGCATGATTAACTGAATGCAAATCAAAATATGTGTGTAGCAGAACTCATTACAAAGCTGTTCATATTTTAGTACAAGATCAAAGAGCTATCCAAAGTTATTTAGAAATGCAGATATTCACAGATATTTCCAGACAATTCACGTACACATTAAAACATGTGCAACTAGAGATTATACTCTCAATTTAAAACACAGATTACAACCGGCAGAGTTACATGATAGTTCAACTACCTTACCTCTGATTCAATCCACGGTTAAAATGGATCCTAAACATTGATATCATTTATAAAGAATAACTTTATTTAAATATATTTTTGAGTTTATGAATCACAAAGTCCATTACAGTTTGATCCTACATCAGAATAACAATGTACAATATATTTTAGATCAATTCAAATATTACTCTTACATTAATCTCTTATAAAACAACGTGTGATTTGATAGCACTTTAATCTTGAACTCCCAATCACAACATATAAATTTCGATAGGAAATATTGATTACCAAGTTAATCGAATTCGTTAGCTTAGAAAGAAACATGATGAAATCTAGAATTGATTCAATATCTTGGTATTGGGTAAGGTCTTGGAATTGCTTGACAAGCAATGGATGGGAGCCTTCATCAAGCTTGGTCCTTCGACTTAATAGTGCAGATGAAGGTTCAGGGTTGATCATCATAACACGTAGCGAGTAATTCTATAGAGGTTCACTATAATAGCTCACGACGGTAGCAAAGATAACATAGAGACGATGACCACGATCGAAAAAAAAAAAAAATAGAGCATTCATTGTTGTATAAGCATGGCATGACATTACTAATGTCCTACGCATGACATATATATATAGTATTGATGATGTAAATAATGTTGACTCATTTATGATAAATGAAAGAATAATTTGTGTGTGACCTGTCAGGATAGAATTCTCATTTAAGAATAATATAATTCACTATATTGAGAGAATTATAATAATTGTACATAATAAATCTAAGAAGTTATTAGTATGAAAATTGATATAAATGATCAGATAGTGTGACGACTTGATATAATGTGATAATAGAAAATGTGACGAGTCGAGATAAGTTATACTTTAAATTTGGTAAAAAAAGCATCTGAGGTCTTTGATTTAAAAAAAAATTAATGTAACCTTCATCTTATTTTTTTAGATCAATATGATCTTTCGATTCGAAAAAAAAAATTTAATGTGGCTCTTTACCTACGTTTTCGTTATTGATCAACAAATCTATTAAACCTTACAGTTATAAATTAGGTAAACTACACCAATCATCACTCAACTATTTTCTTCTCTCTAATTTGGTCACTAAACTCTAAAAATTTTCAATTTCAAAAACTCTAAAAAAATTCAAGGATTAAGGCTGTAGTTAACCCATTTTATTTTAAACACAAAACCCCTACATTTTTCTCTTCCTGCCCTCACCATGGCAAAATCGCCTTCATCAACGCCACTACCATAGGCGATGGTTAAAAAGTTAACCATTAACAAATAAAAAAAGAAAAATGCACACACAAACTTTCTCATATAATGGTAGTATCTTGCTGTTTCTGCTGTCTTTTCGAGTTAAATATTTTCCGTCGAGTGGTGGAGCAATGGCTAAGTGAGGCCCGGTGTTCTGCTGGTGTTGCCAGAAACTATAGATCCGGTGAGAGATCTTTCAAGAAGAGAAAAGCGAGAGAGATTGAAGACGGATAGATTTTCAGAAAGGAAAGAGGAAAGTGAAACTAAATGAACACATTCTTTCATTGATTAAAATAATCCATATTGAAATACAAAGCAAACTGACTATTTATAGCCCAAATACAAGGCCCAAAGACAACAACAGCCTAACAACCATCTAGCAACCTTCTAACCGATTGAACAATCCTCTAATACATTTATAGTACCATATTTTTCTCTTGGTTTCTCATCTCCATGAATCTGATCGAGATAACCACTCCAAGTCGCAAACGCATGTTGCAAAACAGAGTAAGAGGAATTGGCTTCGTTAAAATATCAGCAATTTGTTCTGAAGACGGAACAAAATATACTAGAAGATCACTAGCAAGAACATTTTCTCGAACAAAATAGATATCCAACTCAACATGTTTAACCTAGGCATGGTGAGTAGGATTCGAAGCCATTGAGATAATAGATGAATTATCACACCAAACTATAGGTTAACTTCAACACTAGCCCCAATCTCTGCGAGCAAGTGTTTAATCCATACCAAATCAGACACTGAATTTGCCAAACTTCTATATTCAGCCTCCGGTGTGGATCGAGACACCACGAACTTCTTTTTTGAACACTAGGATTCCCCCAAAGTAAATACAGAACCCTGACGAAAAGTGAAGATCCTCAACCGATGCTGCCCAGTTAGCATCCACATAGCAAACAAGATCAGCGGACTTAGATGACTGATAGTACAAACCATGATCAATCGTACCACACAGATAGCAGAGTATGCGTTTGACAGCTTTCCAATGAACTTCACAGGGATTGTTCATGTACTGGCTGACCTTATTGATGGCATAGGCAATATCTGGTCTACTCAAGGTGACATACTGCAGCCCTCCAACAATACTACCATCATTCGCTTTTAACTTTGGAGTAATGACCATGGGTGTAAGGGTTAGATTAGAAGTAGACAACCCAGTGGAGTCTTGACTGATCTCCATACCAAGAAAAAGTTCAACCTGCCTCAAATCTTTCAACCGAAAAACATCATTAATCTGCTTAACCACTTCATTAACCTCACTAGCAACACTCCCAGTGATGATAATATCATCCACATAGACCATCAGTAGCAAGCTAGAAAAAAAATATTACGTATGAAAAGTGAGAAGTATGCCTTTGAAGTAGTAAACCCCAATTATTTCGTAAGAACAACAGTTAATATTATATACCAGGATCTACGAGCCTTCTTGAACCCATAAATGGCCTTTCTAAGCTGACAAACCAGTTTCTCACCATCTGGCCCATATTGCTCAAAGCCTAGGGGTTAAGACATATAGATTTCCTCTTAAAGCACACCAATAAGGAAGGCATTATTGATGTCGATTTGCCTTATAGTCCAGCCACTTAAGACAGAGGAGGGCAACACATTTTTTATGGTCGTGGCTCGCACAACTGGGCTGAATGTCTCAAGAAAATCACTCCCAGCAATCTGAGAATAGCCTTCCAAACGCACCTTAAATCGATCAACTAACCCATCCAATTTGCACTTAACACGAAAGCCATTTACACCCTACTAGTTTCCGTGTAGGAGGCAAGGATTGAAGTTGCCAAGTACCATTTTCCATTAAAGCACCGTACTCATCCTCAACAGCTTCCCTTCAGCCTGGCTGTTGCAAAGCCTCATATACATTTGAAGGCTCAATAGCCTCTTCCACAAGAAACGTCTTTGGTTTAAAAATGCCAGCCTTTCTCCTTGTAACAATAGGATGAGTATTTTTAGTACTACATATATGTGAATGAACCATGGTGGATGGAGGAATGATAGTGGATGAAGGAAGGATGGATGGAAGATAGAAGAGCAGACGATGATAATGGACGTGGAATAGTGGAAGATGAAGGAGATGGCACTAATGAAGAAGATGACACAATAGGTGATGAGTCTAGTAGAATCGTGGAGAGGGGATAATGTAAGATGGAGATGGCAAAATAGATTATGAGCCTGGTGGAATCGTGAAGAAGGAATAGTGCGTGATGGAGATGAAGATGGGAAATTAACATGACAAGGCAACACAGACTGAGACTGACCAGAGTTAGACAACTCAATGACCGGACTTAAAACAGGACTCAAAACAAAATTTTAAACAGAATTAACTCTATGACCAAAGTCTACTGACTGATTAGACCGACTGACACATGACGTGATAAGTTTGACCAACGGGGTAGACTACTCAGGGGTAGGGGAAATGACCAAAGGAAATTTCATTAGATTCTTAAAACATGGATTAGACTCTTAAACAGAAGACCTAGAAGAAAGAAAAACCTAACATTGAATACAAAGACGCACAGTGACCATTGATTTTACAAGGAAACAACTCCTTATCAAAATGAACATGTCTAGAAACATGAAGTCTGCCTAAAGAAACAAGACATTTATATCCTTCAAAAACAGGTGAATACCTAGAAACAGATAGGCAGATGATCGAAATTGTAAGTTGCTCTTATTATAAGGTCTCAACAATGGATAACATATACATCCAAAAACCTTTAAGAGAGAATAATCAGGAATTTTTTTAAATAATTTTTCATATGGTGAAATACCCGATAAAGCACCTGTTGGTAACTGGTTTATAAAAATATATCACTTGAAAAAGCATCGCACTAGTGTTTTAACGGCATGGATGCTTGAGCTAAAAGTGTCAACACTACCTCAACAACATGTTGATGCTTACGCTCTATCAATCCATTCTGTTCAGATATATGCGAACATGATAGCCGATGAATGATGTCTTGCTCTTTAAAGTACGAATTCAAGGCCTTAAACTCTCCACTATAGTCCGTCTGAACCATCTTCAATTTGACTTCAAGTTGTCTTTCGGCCTCCTTGTGGAACTGAGCAAACACATCTTTGACTTGAGATTTATGCTGCAAAAAATATAAACAAGTGTTCCTAGTGTAAGCATCAGTGAATGCAACATAATATTTGAAATCATTAGACGTTATAAGGACAATACCTTAAACATCAGCAACAACTAACTCAAGAGGTTGATAGTAAACAATAGAGGAAGCTGGAAAAGGTAACTTGTGAGCCTTACCATACTGACATGCTTGACAAAGTACAAAATCTCTAGAACTATATTTTTATTTGGATAGTTTTACCCAAAAATCGTCTTGATAAGTTTTAATTACCTCTCAGATACCATTTTAAAAAAATTTATCAATCTAGTATCCTTTAGAAAAAGACGTGGATGATGATCCGTTTCTTTCTGCAATTATGACACGCGTCAAAAAGGCACGGATCACCATCCGCATCTTTCATTATTAGTTTTGAATTTATAGGCCTTTAAGCTCTCACCTTGCCTATAAATAACACCATATTTAACCGTAAACATCACAACATCATATTTACTTAAGCACTTCCTCTTATATTTGCTTCAATAGTTCATTCGATCTTTTGTTGTTAGGTAATTTTTTTAATATATTATATTTATTTTATATATGATTATTTGAAAATATATATTGTACTAATTCTTTTCTATTATTTTTTGCGATTGTAAAATTAGAAAGTGTGATCATACGTTTTCCCGATGCGGTAACAATATAAAATTATATTAATTAAATTCTTGTTAATATTTTTAAATTTTGTTATTAGGTTATATTTGAATTCATATACTATTTATTTAATTAGGCGTATTTCAGCTATTATTTTTGCATAAATAAGACTCTCAATCTTTCAAACTCTCAAAATGATGTGTATTTCGGCTATTATTTACTATGATGGAGAAATTTGGAAAGATGAAACTGACGTTGTGTTCGTATCAAATCATTTTGTCAAAATACTCTTCAAGAGAAACATAACTCTTAAGGAGCTGATAACGAAGATTTCAAAAAAGATTCATGTTGGAAGTACTAGAAGATTGTCCTCGCATAAATACAGATTTCTAGCATCGATGTTTCTATTAACTTATACAGCGTTCGAACTATCGAACGATGACGATGTTGCAATGATGGTTGATTCTCAAAATCATTATTCAGATGCCGATATGGAGATGTATGCGAAATTTGTTGAAGTGTGTGATGTTTGTGGTATGTCATTATGCTCCCACTATGGGCTGGCTCAACAAGCTGATCAAGTAGACAGCCCAACTACAGTAATGTGTAATGATTTTAACGCCATAATGGGAAATCTGCATCATAGTGCCATCCCATCAAGTTCAATGGGGAGATATTCATCATCAACTTCTTACCATCTGTACTGAGGTGGCTCTACAAACAATCCATATGGAAACATCGCGTCCAGTTCAAGGTAAAGGAATTCATTTGCCAATTTTTTTGACCTGAATATGGAGATGCCCTCGACACAGGAATCTGTGAAGTACCCATTTGACACGATCCCTTCAAGCTCCAGGGAGAGACATTCAACTGCGAGCTTCTTCGACCTCAATGTCGAGATGCCTTCAAGTTCAAGGGGAAGGCATGCAACTACCAGTTTGTTCAACCTAAATGTCGACAGCCTTGAGAAACCCTCATTTCCACCAGAAGAACTTCTTCGCGAACCAGGTGTTGATAGTGTTGAGACTAGACTATTCATTTGTTAGGATCATCGGCGCACCCCACGGCGCAGCGGAAACAAAACTCGACGGTCTCACTAGTGATCCAAGTACGTAAAATCAAAATCGGGAGGAAGGGATGTGAATACTTACAACGGGTTCCTTAAAAAAACAACAAGAACAACAGTGAATACTGGTGGTGTAGATCGGTTCAAATCGTAAGCCTCCACGAAATCACGTCTCGGCCTCTACTCAGTTCACCCGATTGAGAGCAATATTTGTTTTCCCCAAAACTGTTTTGAGAGAAAAACAGCTGAAGGTTTATGTGTGTGTGTGTGTTAAAAACGGCTGCTAGACCTAACGCACCCTTTTATATCTATTACCCTAACATCTTAGGGTTTTCAAAGTTATTTCGAATAAACAATAAAATATTATTTAATTAATTCAATTATATATACATTAAAGACTTATAATCTGAATTATAATCTTTAATGTTTATTTAAAAACTTATTTAATTATTTTAAAATATATATACCAATTAAAAGAGTTGTAATCTAAATTACATTCTTTTAATGCTTACTTACTATATTAGAGATAATTAAAATCATATGTATATCAAATATACATATCATAACTCTAGATATATTTTAGTAACATAAAACAAATTGTACATTTTTGCTCATTTCAATCCTAGGGTGTTACCCTATAGGTTCTTGTAACGTTAGTAGTAATTATTAGAACAATTCTAATATTACATACAATGAGTGGCATCTAGCAATATATCATTGTCACCTAAGTTACAAGAAATTATGATTCGACATATCATCTTCGTGATTAACCCTTTTATGTATTAGATCCTTTTGTCCTTTATATCTAGAATAGGCACATGTCTTAGAATAGTCACATTTGTATAGACCATCTGTTGAAACATTTTGATATTTCGATATAACAAATTAAGTTAAATGGATTTTAAGATTTTTCAAATGATTTTCTAAGTATATTCGATATAACTATTAGAATATCAAAACATTACTCCAAATATTTCAAAAATCATTTTAATCCTTACTTAAGTGTAAAATTAAGTTTTAATCATAAAACAATTTCAAAATAATTTTACAAAGTATTTCGAACCAATTCAAAGCCAAAACTTCCAGATTGCTCAGAGGGAACCGATTCCCCCCATAGGAGGAACCGATTCCCCCTGAATGGTTTGGCCCCGAGATTTCCAGAATGCTCGGAGGGAACCGATTCCCCCCATAGGAGGAACCGATTCCCCCCTAAACAGTTTTACTCCGAGAATTCCAGTATGCTCGGAGGGAACCGATTCCCCCCAAGGGGTACCGATTCCCCCCTTGTACAACGGTCGAAATATTTGAATTTTACACTTAGGGAACCGATTCCCTATGAGGGGGAACCGATTCCCCCCACGCTCCAAGCTGTTTTATTAAATGTTTTCACACTAAAACGGCTATAATATCTTCTCTAATTATCCCCAACGTTCAGAAGTGATCCAAGGTGTATTTAAACAAGCTTAGAAGCCATTGATCAACAACAAGAAACATCAAGCAACTAGAATCAAGAGAGAATCAAAGAGAAAGCATCAAACCTCAAGTTTGAGCATTTCAAGCCTATTTTCATTCAATATTCATTTTGCTTTCAAGAACACTTTTTGTGCTCAATTGTATTCATCTTTGAGTGTTCTTTTCTTTGTTCTAGAATTGTGCAAACATCTTACCTTGTGAGGTTTTCTTGTAAGTTTGCAAATTTGTAATCTTCTCTTTGAGAAAAGAGTGTTCTCAAGAGTTGGGGTATACTCTTGAGGGAATTGTAAGGTTATCTCTTTGGCCTCAAAAGAAAGAACAAATTAGTGAATTTTTTGGAAAATCCTTAGTGTGGATAGCTAAGGTAGTGGACGTAGACTTTGTTTGAGAAAGTCGAACCACTGTAAATCGCTGTGCAATTACTTTCAATTTTCTGCAAAAGCTTTCACAAAATTTTTATTGCCAATTCACCCCCCTCTTGGCCAATTTCGTCATTCGATTAACTCAACAATTGGCATCAGAGCCTAACTCATTTGAAGGTTTAATCGCCTCTTGAGTCGATCCGGGAAGAGTTACATCGATTACCAAGTCATCAA